GCTGGAATTACAGGTTCCTGCTACCATGCCCAGCTAGTTTTTGTATTTTTAGTACAGACGGGGTTTCACCATCTTGGCCACGCTGGTCTTCAACTCCTGACCTCGTGATCCACCCGCCTCGTCCTCCCAAAGTGCTGGGATTACAGGCATGAGCCACCGCCCCCAGCCTTTTGTTTTTGTTTTTTTTGAGACGGAGTCTCACTTTGTTGCCCAGGCTGGAGTGTAGTGGCACAATGTCAGCTCACTGCAACCTCTGCCGCCCTGGTTCAAGCACTTCTCCTGCCTCAGCCTCCCAAGTAGCTGGAATTATAGAAAATTAAAGGTAATAGAAGTCTTAAATACCACTCAAAGAAAGATGTTCAGAAGAACATAAAGGCAATGTAAAGATAAAACTTTTTTTCCTCTCCAAATCTATATGCCTTGCTGCAGAACGTTAAACATTATTAAAAACAAACTCAGGGTAAGATACCTCTTCAGGCAAAAAGAAAATCTGTGCAACACATTACCCCTCCTCAATCCCCACTCAAAAGTAATCAGATAAACAGAGAGCACTGCTGCTAACAAGCTCTCACAGAATTCAGGGATAGCTAAAGGGAGAGTACTCGAAGTAGTGAGTTTTCAGTTTTAGAATTTGATCCCTTTGTCAGTCTTCAAGGTTGCTGACCTTAAAGCCAGGGTGTAAGACCCACCTGTTCATCCAGTACTTTAAAAGGCAGAGTAGAGGGAGGTTTATTAAATTTGCTCCAAGATGAGCTGAGATTGAAACTTCTTTCATCATTAAAAGTGTGCTCCTCAGCCGGGCACAGTGTAATCCCAGCACTTTGGGAGGCCAAGGCAGGCAGGTGGCTTGAGCTCAGGAGTTCAAGACCAGCCTGGGCAACATGATGAAACCCCACTGCTACCAAAATTACAAAAAATAGCCAGGTGTGGTGGCACCCACCTGTAGTCCCAGCTACTAGGGAGGATGAGGTGGGAGAATCGCTTGAGCCCAGGGGGCAGAGATTGCAGCGAGTCCAGATTGTGTCACTGCACTCCAGCCTGGTTGGAGCAAGACTCCATCTCAAAAAAAAATAAAAAATAAAGTATGCTCCTGCCTGAGCACACTGGCTCACACCTGTAATCCTAGCACTTTGGAAGGCTGAGGCGTTACAAGATTGCTTGAGACCAGGAGTTCAAGACCAACCTGGCCAACATAACTAGACCCTGCCTCCTCTACAAAAAAAAAACAAAGAAAAATTTTCTTAAAAATTAGCCCAGAGTGGTGGTGTGAGCCTATAAACCCGGTTACTTGGAAGGCTGCAATAGGAGGATGGCTTGAGCCCAGAAGTAGGCTAGAGTGAGCTAGGATCTCACCACTGCACTCCAGCTTGAAGTGACAGAACAAGATCCTGTCTCTGAAAATAAATTTAAAATAAATAAATAATTTTAAAAGTATGCTGCTGAAGCAACTTTGCCACAATGGATATATTTCCTAATCTCCTCAAGGAAATAAATTGCAGAGTATTTTGTTCATATCATGTTCAGGTTAGCAGATTTATGAATCAGTGCTCTCCAAAAACTTTTACATCTGGCCATTCCAATTCATTTCGTTTTTAAATAAATAGAACATTATGAAACACAGAAAGACTACCAGCAACTACTCTCTCTAGTTGAAAAAAGGATGTAGATCTGATGCTGCCTCTCTTTAGGCCAAAGAAAAGCACTTGACTACCTAAGAGGTCTACCCAGGTTATATAAATTTCAAAATGTACCACAGGTAAAAATTAAAAGATAAGAACACAGAAGAGGAGGAATACATAATCTGTAATTCTCATTGGTAATGGAATGTAAAAATGTGATAGAGCGATGGAAATTTAGATATATCTATAAAATTTTTTTTTTTTACTTTGGCTGTACAGTGCATCAAATTCTTCTTTACCCAAATGTGAATCTCCCAATGGCAAAGCAAAATGCTCTGAAGTTAAGAAAAATGGGAATAATTTATTCAAAAAAGTTTTTTGAATAATTACACAGTACAATATTTAGTCCCCACAAGAACACATAAAGTTAGATCACAGAACACATTATGTCCTTAAGGAAGCTCATCTAAAATGAGACCGGCATGGAAAATAGCCAATTGCAATAAAAGGCAGGAGCTACAATATATAATAAAAGTACATATAAAATGTCAGGGGAAGCATCAGAATATGTAATTAAATTCCACACAAAAGACGGTTCATGAAAATCACACTTGATTGATGCCATAAATTATAAGTAAAGTTTTCATAAGCAGTTAAGTATATTCCAAACAGAGTAAACACCATAAAGTCACAGAAACTTGAAAATACTTCAGGATCTTCATTCTATTAAATGTGAGCCTAATATGTAAGATACAGTCATTCATTCAAAAATATTTAATGAAGGTCCACAGTGAACATTCATTAAATAGGTACTAGAGACAAACCTCGTTCTAGGTACACAGAATTTATATTCTAGCGGTAAAGATAAACATTAAACAGTGTACCTATAAGACACTTTCTGATAGTGATATATGTTATAAAGGGTTAAAAACCATAACATAGGCCAGGCATGGTAGCTCACGCCTGTAATCTTAACACTTTTGGAGGCCAAGGCAGGAGGATCACTTGAGCTCAGGAGTTTGAGACCAGCCTGGGCAACATAATGAGACCCTGTCTCTATATTAAAATTTTAAAAAGCATAACACAATGTGGACGGGGGCAGGAGAAAGATACTTCAGATAGAATAGTCAAAAGGTCAGTGTGAATTGAGCATAAGGAGCAAGGCAGAGTAGGGAAAGTATTCTCTTAACAGTATCTTTTGTCTGTTTCTAGAAAATGCTGTTTCTTACCTTAGGCCTTCTTTACTCCTCTTTTCTCTACCTGTATTTCTGCATGGCTAACTCCATTTTACCATTGACTTCTTAGTACAAACGTCCCTTTCTCAAGTGAGAAAGTAGATAGCATTCTGAATTTTATTCTAAGTGTACTGGGAAGACATAGGAAGATAGTAAGCAAGGAGGTGATGAGCTGATTTTTTTAATATTGTTTATTTATCATCATTCATTTATTAGGAAACTACCCAAAGGCTTATAGACTAGATTATGGGGTACACAGATGAATAGAGAGACCAGGTGGAATGTTACTGCAATAGTACAGTAAAGAAATGATGGCAACTATCCCAGGATGATAGAGGGGGAGAGAAGTGGGTAGATTCAAGATAAATTTTAAAAGTAGAGCCAACTTAGTACAAAAGTATCTAGATTTTCAAATTCTATAGTCAGCAACTGGAAAAAAAAAAAAGTTGCAAAAGACTTAAGATGAGTTCCTGTATCTTCTACTTAGACTGTAAGCCAGATCTTATTTTAATATTACATATACTATAAAAGAAAGAGAACTAGAAAACAGGAGCAGCTGCTACACATTTGCTAAAGTGGAAGCAACAATGAAATTAGAGTAAATATAACTTTATCCATTGGGGTCAACAGAAAGAAACAGTCCTTTGCCTCTTAAAATTAGAGTATTATCTCTAATTTAAAATATACTTTGATAACGTTTTGAGGCATTCTTTCTTGCATACTCATCATGCTCAATTTACAATAGGGGATACATTCCTGAAGTTTGTAGCTACATCGTGTCATCTGAATACAAGACTTCATTCCTGAAAATAAATGAGTTTACTGGTAAAACCAGTAAACTCCCACCACTTCAATATTGCATGTCATTAACACTGACTTTGAAATGCAGGCATACAATGATAAAAGCCAAACAAAAATTCTGCAACCTCCATCATCTTGAATTTTAAAACTATGTATAAAAATGAGTTTTATGTATATAAAAAATATGTAAAGATTTAAGGAATAAATTAGTATAGCCATCTGTGTTATCAACTCATTATTATGAATAAAAACTAGCCTCAATTATTGAGAGCTTACTATAAGCCAAGTACTACACTGTGCACTTTGTTCACATTCTTTCCCAACAAGTTTATGAGATCGGTATTATCATCACCATTTTATAGATGAGGAAAAAAAGGCTTATTAGAAAGGGAAAGTAATTTGCTCATGTCAAGCAGCTGGCTAAATGGGTTGTTGAGAGTTGAACCCAGGTCTGTTTGGATTCAAAGTCCAAATCCATAACCATGACTTTGTAGTGCTGCCACAACTTTTTTAAAACCAGTTTTTAATTCATATAGAGTAGCTGTACATATTTTGTGATACTTTTATTTTAATACCTGTGTACATATATGCAATAATAAAAATAGAGTAATTGAGATATCTATCACCTCAAGCATTTATCTTTTCTAACCACATATTTTATACTACTCTAATGAGACTATTTTAAAAGATAATTATGAATTTGAATGTTACATCTTTAGAGTGTCTACATCTCAAACATCTAAATGTTAAACACATGTTAAAATTAATATGCCAAAGTATATATTTTCTAAACAAACAAAAAAAAAATCTGTCAAAGTATACAAAAACATCATTGGCTTATAAAATCTTTCCCTTGAATGCTAAAATAAACAAAATATAAAAATACAATATAAAATAAAGTTTTTTAAACCCAAATTAATCTATTCATCAGTCTAGAAACTAAAAAATGGCTTTCAGATTTTTTTAAAATATATATGTGAAGAAAACTGTTTAGAAGAAAACATTAATTGATACATTTACTTTCCCATTTCATATCTGCAGATGGTAACTACTCTCCAAACAATATTTATAAATGTTTTTCTACGCTACAAGCTTAAAAATGCAAGTAGAGTAAGAAAGTCATACAAACCCAATTCACATACAAAAATATTGTGTTGTATACTTTGAAAATTATTTGTTTCACTTTCCTCATACTGCGCCCATCCATATTTCCAGACATCTAAAACTAGATCAGACACTGTTCTTAAACATCTGAACATTTCGGTTTACTATAGAAATGGTGAAAATTATAAAGCATAATCCTTGAAAAAATATCTTTCAAACAAGCAATTAAAATAAGGCTTACCATTTTGATGCCTGTGGAAAACGTCACTGGTTTTACAGGTTTGGGTTTCTCAAGTTGCATTTCTAATTGGGTAGATCTATCTTTATGCTGAGCCAAAAGCAGAGCAACAGGGAGATCAGAACTCTCCTGTAAGAATAGTTCAAGTTCAATAAGAAATGTAAAAAGGGAAAACTAAAAACAACAAAACTTTTATTTTAAATTATGTCCTTTCCATAAGCATTTCATGTCAAACTAAATATTCACATTACCGAGGACACTTTACAAAAAATACTAACATTCCATAATAAGAAAAGGCTGTTGTAGACTCATAAATCAAAATAACCTGCAAACAAGTATTTTTATAAAATCCACATTAAAAGTTCCTATTTCAACTAGCAAACCAACCACATTTATTAAAACGAAAAAAATAAGCTAATCACAGAAAGCATACTACAAAGTACTATAACTTAGATCAGATGTTTATCTAAGACGCATTCTTTTTACCAGTAAATTTAGACCAGTTTGAAATTGTTTCCCATTAGATTTCACCTGAGACCGTTTGGAAATGATCCTTGTTCTATTTTGCACAATGAAACTATTGTAAGTACAACCAAAAGCGTATTTATTTTCTCCTTTTCTAATTTAATTTTAAAATTTAAGTCTATGTTTTTTAACTTAAGTAACAAAATGACAGTGAAACATTTTAATATCTTATATTAATTCTAAGCACACTGACACATTTTAATACCATGAGCAAATTACTAATTTTTATACGTAGACTGTTATTTATTCTGTTTAACAAGAAGTCCTCTTACATCTTTAAAGGGCTGTGGAACTAAGGTCTAAACTAAATGATATCCAGACATTTTCCTTTCTGAGTTTTCAGTTAAATAAGAACCCAAAAACATATGCAGAAGGAGGTACCAGGAGGAAAAGATCTCTCTCTCTCTCTTTCCTACACACACATACAAACACACACACACAGAAAGAGACTGAGAATTTTCTGTATCTATAAACAAAGATGAAGGTAAAAACACATTTTTATCTCCTATACCAGGATTATGTGCTAAAGCATATTGTTCAAAGAGGCTATAGATGTTAAAATAGTGACTACACAGAATTTAATCCTGAAGAAACTCTATTATTAACATTTCACAGCATAAAGTAAACATACAGATTTGAATTTTCTTTCCAAATCTAGCAGCTTAACAATTTTTTAGGCACAAATGTGGTTAATTAATATACTTAAAGGAATTGGTTTAAGGTTACAGTATAGAAATAACTCAAGCAACTTAATTCAATAGAATTGTCCTAGAATAAAGTTGCACACCAAGATTTTATAATAGAAGTGTTTTGCAAGAGCAGTATTACAAAGATTAAAACTTTTAATAGTAAATGGAAGAACATAAATTTTATTTATTTATAAGATATAACCTTATTAAGGGGCAAAATCATTAAGATCTGGCTTTAACAATAATGAAGGAAAAGTGATGAAATATAGTATGAGGAGAATATACTAGAATACCTTTTATATTCTACACAAAGTATTAGTAATGCATGAGTAACTGTATTGCTAAAATTCCTTGCAGCTATTCTAGATTTATATTAAGAATTTTATAATAAAATATAAAATTAAAGAACATTTTTAATGGGCTGTGGCCAAAAAAAATATTTTAAAAGCTACTCTATCTTTTCACATGTAGAAACTAACAAAAGAAAAATAAATTTCCTTAGCTAAAAAGTTAAAAGTATTGCTTTTCAATTTATACTCTAAATCAATTCAAGTGCTCTTTCTTAACTGGTATTTCCTTTAAAAAGCAAAAATTCTTATATAAAAGCAATGTATTAACTTCAAAAAAAAAAGTTGCTAGTCAAGACTTTGGCTTGTTTTAATCCTGGTTTCACATTCACATAAAAGGAACTGAATATTAAAGTGTCTTGGTAAACAGCTGAAATCTAATAAAAACAAACATTCTAAGGATCTAAAACAGTTTTGATACTGAAGCAAAGAATTTAGTTCCAACCTACTCTATTCTATTTTAGCACTCAAATTTTGAAGCTTGGAAGCATTACTAAGTGTTAAACTAGAATTAAGTAGGAGTTCCAACAACAAAAAATATTAATGGAGTAAAATAAACTATGTGAAACATGCATGCTCTGGGGAATACCTAACATGCAGATTTAGCCTTTCAAGTTATTTCATTCTTTGCATTACATTTTACCTTAAAAGGTTCCCTCACCTATATTAATTGCCTGAAGGCACACTGTTTAATATTTAAAGAAATTTTAATAAGAACTGCCTGTAGTACTCATTAAAAGCTTTATAATGACCATTTTTAAAAGATTATTTTAACTGACTTTCAGCAAGCCATCTGGCAAACAATATTTCTAATAAAAATCACCTACTGCGTTTGACAACAATATTAGCCCATACAAAATTTAAGACATAAACTGAAGCGAATTTTCAAACAGGAATATAAAAAGATTTAATAAGTCAGGACCTGTTTAAACATCTTTTTCCAAACTGTTTTTTAAAATTGAATTTACAGTTAGGATTAAATAAATGGACCTTTTAGCCAACATTACTGCAAATGCTAAGCCATAAACATTAAGACCATAACATTAAAATCCTGTCACATACAGTATAATATAACGTGAATACTTTTTAAAAGGTTAAAAAGTGACTTTTGGCACAAAGACCAGAACCAAAAACAGGAGGAAAACAATTCTAATAAGTAGTACTTGTGTAAATTAGGTCCAGAAATTAACTCTAAGAATTAAGCTTCTAGACATATTTACAAATGCTATTGTTTTTTAAACAAAATCTCACATATGAACATATACAGAAAAAGAAATACATTATTTTACTTAGTTAATAAAGATTCAAGAGGATAAAAATAAATTTAATGAATTTATGTCATAAAAATTTAAAGTATTTTAACATTTACAACAAAAAATTTATAAAGACTGAAAAATAAACATAACAAAATCTTTAAAAATAAGTTTAAAAATGAAAACCAGAAATTCAAACTGCAGTGGTATTCTAAACCAATCTGTTGTAATTAATTGCACTAATGAATACAGTAAATTACTAAGAATTATTTAACCACCATGTTATATGATCTAAGCAGTGAGGAAAGTATGTGCAGTAATGACTTGCAGGTGAGGAAAACAGGAAGTGGGAGAAAGAACTCACAAAAATCAATATTAACTCCAGATTACACACAATGTACAACAATGGTAGTTTCACATCTTGCTTCATGCCTCACTGAATCAAAGGTGAGCTTCATGCCAATAGCAGCTCAGTGAGGCAGCAAAACAGTACTTTAAAGACTAAAAGAATATGCAGCTGGGTGCGGTGGCTCACGCCAGTAATCCCAGCACTTTGGGAGGCCAAGGCGGGTGAATCACAAGGTCAGTAGTTCATGACCAGCCTGGCCAAGATGGTGAAACCCCATCTCTGCCAAAAATACAAAAAAGTTAGCTGGGCATGCTGGCAGGCACCTGCAATCCCAGCAACTCAGGAGGCTAAGGCAGAGAATTGCTTGAAACCCAGGAGGCGGAGGTTGCAGTGAGCCAAGATCACGCCACTGCACTCCAGCTAGGGAACAGAGCAAGACTCCGTCTCAAAAA